GCTTAGCGCCAAGTTACTGCGCTCATTCCGGGGTGCCCACACCTCCAGACATTCATTCAGGCAAACTGGATAGAACTTGAACAGGCTTCTCCCTGTTGGTTCCCGTTATTCACTGAAATCGTCAGTGTTTAAGTTGTCATCTCCAGTCAAAACGCGCTGTTCAAATGATGCAATGCCGAAGGAGTCAGCCGCTAATTCCGCGCCCCGAAATTACGGGTGGAACATTGCTAACCCAGTTAACTAAAGCTCAGCGACAGCCTGAACTCGGTTCAAATCAAAATAATGGTTTGGTTTAACGTAGTTGAAGCTCTAAGTAAAAACAGTACACCTAGAAGCCGAGACCATCATTCACATTTTCGTGATTCCTCCAACTTGTGAACAGACGGTTTGGGAACAATCGGTATATTTATTGCTGGGCACCGTTTCGCTTTTGGCACAAGTGACTGAACATACCTGGGCAGAGATTCATAAGACGGTTTGAAAAACAAAGTGTGAGAATGGAAAAATGTCTCACCTTTGAGAAGCATACACTTATTACTGCTATCCAACGAGGTGAGCGGTTAGTATTGAAGTATAATGTAGACAACTGTCTTTACAAAAATATTCGTCTTGCAGGTGGTCACAGGGTAAGTCTAGGTTGACCGAACAGCAAACATGTGGAAGTGGGTAGCAAAAGAACCGGATATAGAACATTCAAACCAGAGTAATCGGCTCACTCAAACGGTTTTGGCGTCTTACCATTGCAATATCTATTTATGTGTGCATTCCAACTGAGTTCGATCGACAACGTTTTGGACGGTAGGTCTTAGCTCACCTCCCACCTGTGTCACCCATCATCTCCGCTTTATTTGCTTTGCTCCGGTTTATCGATTATCCTGGAATGTAAGTTTTCAAGATCTGGGTGTCATTCCATCTTGGCCCAGAGATCTGTGATTTCGGCAGAATACAAATGCTGTTTCAAGTATATACTTTGGTTATTATGTCTACACCTGCATCGCGATATGTCGAATAGTGTACTAACTGAGTCAGCACATTCAGTTGCTTAAAAATATCACAAATAGCTGGGTTCCAAATGAATCTCACGCAAAACCAAATTTGTTTCGGTAACCTTGCCTATTCACTTCAAACCAATCGGCACCTGATCTCTTGGACGAACAAACCTGTTAGTAGTCTCATCGATCATCGGGTTTTAGATATGGGTCACTTGTAAAATCTTTCAACAGGTTTTATTGGGTAAACGGAGACAAATCAAAGTATGAAATGCGGATTTTCTTCCCCTTCGGACTAATGTGTGTGCAAAAATGTTCACAACTTAAAAGTTTATTTTGCCGGCCGATGGTATTGACTGGAAACGTGGAAGTACACCGATATCATTTATAGATTTTTAAGGCGTATTTGGCTTGGAGAGTGTGGTTAAGTGATCTGCCAGAGTAGTCACCTATATTGGGACAAGATGGAGCAAGTAGTTAGGGAGCGAATTTACTGACCGGAAAGTGCAAGATGGACCAAGTGGAAAGGGAGCGAATTTGCTGACCAGAAGGTCCGTGGTTCGAACCCGACCTCTGCTTCTCGAATTCCCCTGTCTAGGCTTGGGCAACCTGGCAGTACCCCGGCCCTCGTGCCTCCTTCGTGTAGCATGGCAGCTAGGCAGCTAAACGCTAGCCACAAATACGTCTCCATCTTTTAAGAAAGGGACAGGTCTGGAAACAGTAGTATTAAGCATATTTCCTTCTGGTTTATGGAAAACAACACTAAGAACAAATGGCTTCTGTAAGAACTACCAGTGAAAGGAAGAAGGCCTTCGCTGCGAAGTTATTTATTAGAAAACGCCAACTGACCAGTTACAGACTATTAGACAGGGAAGCAAAACTCTCGTGTGTATCTTGTTTACAAAAACTGAACATCCATCTTCTCTTGAAAGCGTCTTCCTGAACTTTCCTGAATATTCGTCGACTGATGCTCCAATCCAAGCAAATGTTACAAAGAAACTCGACAGATTCCGCAAAAGGGCTCACATTTCAAGAGGTGCGAAGCAGATTTACGAGAAAACATACTACTTGCATGCCTTCCCCATTAATAGTATCACGGTAACACCAGAGCGCAGTCGTTTTTTACCCAATCAGATGCGAAGATTGATTTAGGGGTCCAACCCCTGCTGAGTTTATACCTAATGGGGAACTGAACTTGACTTTCGGCTTTAATAAACCCATGAACGAGAATTCTGCAAGTTCTGCAAGCACCTACCACTGGTTTATGGGTAGAGGCGAGGTGGAACAAGTGGTTAGGGAGCGAATTTGCTGACCAGAAGGTTTGTGGTTCGACCCCGACCTCTGCCTCTCAAATTCCCCTGTCTAGGCTTGGGCAACCTAGCAGTATCCCAGCCCTCGTGCTTCCTTGGGGGGGGGGCATGGCATCTAGGCACTGAAAGAGCGCTACAGCTGAGGGATTGCTTAATGTTATTGTGGTCTATGAGTGTCCTGTTCTTGAAGAACGATCTCATAGTCACAAACTGAGAGCGACGGTGTAGAAATCGTTCGGCCACATGCGCACCCTCACAATGCGGATAGCTCCGAAGGAAAAAAAATAAAAAACCTATAGAATTACATATGTCATGTGAGTTCGGCGGGAAATAAATGACGATGTGAAAAGTGTGAAATGCATCCTTGATCAGCAAACAATTCTGATGATTCCAAATCATGATGAATGGTCTGGTGAGTTGATTACAGTTTGCAAACAAGGAACCATGTAATGTCCCGTGTCGCAGTTTTTGTGGAACATGTTAAGCAAACAGCACGGAGTATTCGACGAATCTTTATTGGTGAGCATGAAGAACATTAATAGTATCACGGTAACACCAGAGCGCAGTCGTTTTTTACCCAATCAGATGCGAAGATTGATTTAGGGGTCCAACCCCTGCTGAGTTTATACCTAATGGGGAACTGAACTTGACTTTCGGCTTTAATAAACCCATGAACGAGAATTCTGCAAGTTCTGCAAGCACCTACCACTGGTTTATGGGTAGAGGCGAGGTGGAACAAGTGGTTAGGGAGCGAATTTGCTGACCAGAAGGTTTGTGGTTCGACCCCGACCTCTGCCTCTCAAATTCCCCTGTCTAGGCTTGGGCAACCTAGCAGTATCCCAGCCCTCGTGCTTCCTTCGGGGGGGGGGCATGGCATCTAGGCACTGAAAGAGCGCTACAGCTGAAGGATTGCTTAATGTTATTGTGGTCTATGAGTGTCCTGTTCTTGAAGAACGATCTCATAGTCACAAACTGAGAGCGACAGTGTTGAAATCGTTCGGCCACATGCGCACCCCTCATACCGCGAATAGCTCCGAAGGAAAAAAAGAAAAAAACCTATAGAATTACATACGTCATGTGAGTTTGGCGGGAAATAAATAATGAGGAGGAGAGTGTGAAATGCATCCTCGATCAGCAAACAATTCTGATGATTCCAAATCATGACGAATGGTCTGGTGAGTTGATTACAGTTTGCAAACAAGGAACCCTGTAATGTCCCGTGTCGCAGTTTTTGTGGAACAGGTTAAGCAAACAGCACGGAGTACTCGACGAATCTTTATGGGTGAGCATGAGGAATCGATACTGGAGATTGGATGAGACCTTGAGTGAGAAACTTGGTGAAGGTCGGAAGAATTGTGAGGAACAAAGACGTGTGGAAATAAGACAAATGCATTCAATTGCATAACCAATTGTCTTTTTCGGGTAAATCACCTAAATCCAAGCTGAATTTCCCGTTTATGGTGTTCATCTTCAACTGAATGTGCTGCACCGGGTCGCATCAACTTTCACTTGGTATCGCGGTTACCAAAACACCAGGACATTTTGGCCGGATACATTCGTTTGTAGAAGACAATCCTAAACGAGAGATTCAGCTGGGATTAAGGCGAGTCTTCCGTGAAAGCCAAATGTGTCCGTCGAATTTCTACAGTTCAGGTTCAAGTACAACGTAAGGTTGACGGACACTCAGGGACCAAGTGTACCTGATGGGATCCGGAAAGAGGGGGAGCGTTGGTGGGCTGCCGAACGGTGTTCAGCAATCTTATGTGTGGCATATGAAATTAGTCTATTAAAACCGGAAACAGCTGGGTCCTGATTTCTAGTGCCAAGATAAAACTATGTGAAACTTAAATAAAAATCGTGGAGAAGATCAAATGATCATTTTCGTCGGATTCATCCTATCCAGACTGCTTTTCAAGATGGAATCCCGTCATTTCGAGATATGTATACTTCGTGGCTGAAGGTGTAACTTCCAAGAAAAAGTTAGACAGACCCGTCTCAAACGAATTTCGGTTTTTATTAGTATAATCCCCGAATCACAAGATAGTTATATTCCGTAAAAATACCGGGTGATGAGTTATTAGAGGAAATTCTAGTCTGAACTTGCACTTTCTCTCTAGATGATAATGTACTTTGATGAGTGAAATATCGGAAGTGCCCGTTAAATAGTAGTGAAACCTGAGCACACACAAATTCTGAACAAGTTGTTCTTTTACTCATAGCCAACTTTGAATAACGTGACTCGTACCTCAGTCGCTTTCCCCGGAGATAAAAAACAGTTTGGTTGGCTCGTTCGGCATGTTATCGCAGGACCGGGCAATGACAAATTTTGGGTTCTCGAACCATGGCACCAGACCAGCGACCAACTGAAAGGCTCATTAGGACGGCCAGTCAGTGGAGCATTTGTGCTCATTGAAACAGATTATAACGGGGCCTAGAAGTTTTAGGAATACCTCGCTCTTTTGGTCAGCTTATCGGGTGCCTTCAGGGGAGGAGAATACAGCGCCAGTTTACTTCGTTGAATCAAATCTTCAAATACTGAGGCACTGTCTGACTGAAGGTACTAGATATTGGTGTTCCGATCCCTTGTGCTAAATAGTCCTTCAAGGCCTGCTGCTCGTGTGAAAAGAGGCGCGCGTTTTAGTTTGGACAAATATGACGAAAGTTGTCAGGTGTATACTGTCAGAAATGATTTTATAGCGTTAATTTAAGGTAACAGATTGTGTTGACTGGTTGTATAAGAGTTACCGTTAATAAAACAAGTAAGCTACCTTCACTGTTTAAATTAGTTTGGTGAGTTGGTTTTTGGTGGATGATAGACTAGACCATTGATCAACGGATAAATAAGGCCAGAGTTCGGGGAACAATCTGACTGGTTCAGCCTTCTATGACACCTGGTTTTGAAACGGTCCTTCCCTCAAAAGGTCGAATAAATGTGGAAGAATGCTATCTCAATATTCGTCTCCTGTTCTGTTGTGAAATGATTCCGGTTATCCGATGATTTAAACAAAAGCAAGAAGTCACGAAAACAGTCATGTGCTTTAAATATCTAAACTATCTACTTGAGAATCCAAAACAGCAAATCCCGCGAGTCACTGCGGGTCGAAAGTGATCAGCAACATTACAGGAAACCAGTGAACGTGTTGTAGTTCCACTGGTCTCTAAAGATAACAAAAAAACCCATAGATATGGCTTCTGGCGCACGCTTATTCTGAGACACTCAGATGATGCGAGAGACTGGGAACCACATAAAAATTGCCCCGGCAGAGTGCAACATCCCAAATTCAACAAGGGCCTTTCCCATTGTTTCTATAGTGAGAACATTTTTTCGGTGACCAAAAAACACACGAGATTAGTAATGACTGAAGACGTTTAACTGTGATAAACAGTTTTTTAAAAGCTCTCTTTGTGTGCAGAGCCGAGTCGGTTTCGTAATTTTGTATTTTCTAATAAACTGTGACCAGGAATATCTAAGGGGACGCATGCGGAGATTATATTCCGCTAGATAATGTCGGCATTGCCGGATGCACACATGAGGTGTATCTTTCAGTTGCTAGCAAGGAAAATAATTAGGTAAACACGAAGAACACACTGTTCCAACCAAAAATTCTCACGCAAAAAGTTTCTTCACTGTACCTTTGTTCTGAACAAATGCAAAATGCACTCGCTTGCAAGCTCATTTGGTTTTCATGGGAGACTCTTCTCAG